ATTCCCGGCATAGTAGATCATGTGTTTGTTAGGTATTACTAATTGAATCGGTATCTATAAACCCAAGATTGATCTGTTAGATAGTTGGGAACTGTAACTTTAGTTTTCATTCTGCTGCCTTAACCAATTGATTTTTTTTAAAAGTTCATTTCTATTCTGACAGCAAAGGGGATATTAGAAAACCATTCTTGATAGCAGTGTGCAAATTACTACTAATAAAACAATTGTTTTCAAATATATGAACATTTATTTAATATATTTCAGAGCCAGAGCTTGGTGCTAATAGCAAAGAAAGATCAGATATTAAATGAATGCCACACCTTAAGTAAAAAGAATAAATACCCGTTAGTATTTTTTCTGGGAACTCTGGTAGCATAGTGGCTAAGGCACTTGACTGCTAACCAGAAGGCTGGCGGTTCAAACCCACCAGCCACTCCTTGGAAGGAAGATGGAGCAATCTACTTCCGTAGTGATACTGCCTTGGAAACCCAAGGAGGGGTCACTATGATCGGGTCCGACTCCACAGCACATAACAACAACAAGTATTTTTTCTTGTAAGTATCTTGTTTGGACATGGATTACAGGCAGATGGTCTCCTTCTTTGTGACTATTGTGGTAAAAGTTTGCTGGAATATTGCTTGCTGCTTTGTTTTCCATCTTCTTTTCTCTGACACACTGCCCTTTTTGTCTTTTCGAGTTTATTTCGTGCTGAAAATTTATTATCTTTTCCCTCTAAACTACAAAACAAAAACTAAACAAAATAAGGAAAATAAGCCTTGAAATCAGTATAAGCACTATTCATATATTAAAGTTACTTTTATGGCCTCTGAGAGAAGTTTTAAGTGGCAATTGGAAAAGGCTCTTATCTTCTGCTTAGTACCACCTTCATAAAGAACAACTCTTCTTAGAAATAATTAAGAAGGAGATATATTTAAAAGAAATCTATATGTTATTGGGTAGAGTTGCTATGCATGGTGAAGTTTTATTTATGAGTTAGAAAATCTTTTTGCTACCATAGAGATCCATTTGGTTAGCTGAATGATAGACCCAAGCCAAGGATTGCAATAAGTTAGTTTTTCAAATACTTTCTGGTGTACTCCACAATCCACCTGTCAGTTAGTCGTGTTACGGTGGCTTGGGTGTTGCCACGATTATGGAAGCTGTGCTGCTGGTTTTTCAAATACCAGCAGGAACACACATGGTGGACAGGTTTCAGCAAAGCTTCCAGACTAAGACAGACTAGGAAGAAAGGCCTAGTGATGTACTTCCAAAATTTAGCCAATTGAAAACTTTCTGGATGAGAACAGAATATTGTCTCATTGGACTCAGGCATGCCAATGATTATAAACATGACACATAACTGGGAAACATTTATAGGGTTGCCATGGTTTGGAGGTGACTTAACTGGAGCTAAAAACAGCAGTCTGGCCTACTCCAAATACTAGTGAAATCTTTGTTGTTGTTGTTATTGTTATGTGCCGTCGAGTCAGCCCTGACTCATAGCGACCCCTCCTTGGGTTTCCGAGGCAGTATCACTACAGAAGTAGGATTGCCCAACCTCCTTCCGAGGGGTGGCTGGTGAGTTTGAACCGCCAGCCTTCTGGTTAGCAGTCAAGTGCCTTAGGCACTATGCTACCAGAGGTGAAATCTTTAGTGGGAGAAAATCTTCAAATTCCCAAATAGCCAACATAAAGAAAATTTTTCTTCTTCAGAGTGTCATAGCAGGAGTTACAAAGTTCTTTAGTATGTTTTAAGTGACTTTACATTTTTCCCTTTTTCTTTTTGACAGGAGTCTTTTAGTCCTGCTATACAGCTGCACCTTGTACATCAAGCTCCATGTAATGTTCCTCCTTACCTCTCAAAGAATGAATCAAATCTTGGGGACCTCTTACTGGGCTTTCTTAAATATTATGCTACAGAATTTGAGTAAGTGAAACTTTAAATTATATTTATTTATATGTAAGTTACAAATTGGGCCTGAAGCTGTATTTGTCAGTTGCAGTTCTGTAAATTTGTCCAGAAATGTGTAGTTTATTAAATTTAATATCTAACTATTAATTACTAAAAATTAAATGGATATATTCTTAGCTAATAAAAAGAATCTGTAGTTCAGTAAGCCCAGTTGTAGTTAATTTTTGTGGTGATCTCATTTGATATTTTGCTGCCTTGTTCTAGGGTTGGGCCTGAATGAATGTTTCTGTTGATCCCATGTAAGTGCATCAGGCTGGACAGAATTGAAAGTCCTTGTGGGAGGAGTTCTGAGTGGTATTAGGTGTTTGTAGTTCTTTTGATCAATCTGGAAAAGCTTAGAGGAGGAAGGGAGAGGACTTAGAAGTTGCACAAGGTTGAAGGAGGGTATAGTGAATGACCATAGGGTACCACTTTGAAGTGGCTTGGAAAAGGGAATAGTAATAGTAATAGTAATAATTGACTATTACTAGGTGGGAAAAACTGTTCTAAGCTTATTGCATATATTGTGCATTCTTCACATAATAACCATATGAGTTGGCATTGCATTATGCCCATTATATCAGGGAGGCACATAGCGAGGTGAAGTAACTTGCCTCAAGATCACAGAACTATTAAGGAGAGGATTTCAGATAGTTTTGATTGCAAACACCACACTAAGTGTGATACTTTACTGCAATGTTGGTATTGTCTTCTCAGCTATGATGCCGGTAGCTCTAAAAAAAAAATCTTGATTCAGATGATTTGAAACATCGGATATGAAAGAAGTATCGTTAAAAATCCTCTAGGTAAATTTTATACTTGGCTAATTATGTCTGTTTTATTTACAGTTGTTATCTCAGTGCTTAGATTAGTGTCAAATAGTGAGTACTTGAAAAAACTACTTGTTATAAATAAATAATTTAGAAGCTGAAAGTGAAATTATGGATATGACTCAAAGATCCTTAAGGTAATTTAAAGATTACTGAATTAGGTTAAGAAGTGGAGTAGGACATGTGCTGGAGGAAGGTAGTTCTGTAAGAATCAAATTATAATAACCTAGATTGAAAATGAACAGGACCTGAATGTAGGTATAGGCAACAAGGCAAAAGTGGGAGGAGCCTTCATTATAAAAAGATGACAAAGCTTTAAGACTCAATGAGACATGGCACATAATTAGAGACTATAAAAGTTTGATGGTAATTCTAAAGTTTCTTTTTTTAAGATATAACAATAACCATAGGTAAGGTTTATTGAGTTTTACCAAATACCCTATATTATGTGAATGATTCCCTTGTATTATTTCATTTACTCTTCATAATAACCCCTATCAAGCTTAGAATATTTATGTACCTGCAATATAGCTAGATAGTGGGAAACCTGGTATCCAAATTCTGGTCTGAATCCAAAACCACATTATTAATTGTTAGTCTGTATCAGCATTGTCTGTTTTGTTGTATCAGTTAGGTTTTGCAGGAGTTTTGTAGAGGGAGGAAAGGATTCTTAGAAGAAAGATGTATGCTGTCATTTATAGTTTAGAATTAGAACATCTAGGTACGAATACTTTGAAAATCACTGGCTTTGCTGGATGGTAGACATGTAGATTTGTGTGTTAGTTTAGAATTTACAGAAACTGGTTTACTGTGCCAAATTATATTGGCCAGGATGCCGATGTTTGAAAAAAGAGATTTTGAATCTTTTAGATGCCTTAGTTATCAGTGTGATCTGTGATTTAGGTGACACACTTACCTGCTCTTTTCATTATATAGTGCAGTTGTCAAGTGTATTATTTCATAGCAGAATTTTCAGAAATTTGGCTGAGCACAGCCAAGAATGTAATCATGGTAATGAACTAGGTGTTTAGTTTACCTGGTGAACTGTGCAAAAGAATTCTGGCATCTGTTAATAATATTTGTAAGGATTTCTTCTGAACTTTGAAGTATTCAATTAAAAAAATTCTTTTTGCTTGAAAGCTGAGAACTAACTACTTATTACAGGATGCTTAAGTATATGATATGAAAGTTGCAGGGGTTTTATATGGGCATTTAAAAATTATTAAGAGTTGCTTACATACTTCACTCACAGTCTTCCTCTAAACTTTGCTGCTGAACATTGTTAAATTGAAGCCAGTCTTCTAGAACTGTACCTGGGAGCAGGGGAACTGTACCTGGGAGCAGGGAACTGACAAAATAGGGAAAAAGGATCAGGTGGCCAGGAGAATCAAGAAAATACAATCAGAAGGTAATTTTGTATTATAGCAAAACAAAATTTTAGTCCTTAATATCTTAGAGACACTTCCTAGGGATTCTAGGAACCTTAAAAAGTACCTAGTCATAATCCCCTTTATTCCCTGGCAGTAACAATGTTGTTGTTAGGTGCTGTTGAGTTAGTTCCATATACTACAGAATGAAATGTTGCCCGGTCCTATACTATCCTCATAATTGTTGCTTTGTTTGAGCCCATTGTTGCAGCCACTGTGTCAGTCCATCTCACTAAGAGTCTTCTTTTTCTTCACTGACTTTCTGATTTACCAAGCATGATGTCCTTCTCCAGGGACTGGTCCCTCCTGATAACATGTCCAAAGTATGTAAGATGAAATCTCAGCATCCTCTCTTCTAAGGAGCATTCTGGCTGTACTTCTTCAAAGACAGATTTGTTCATTCTTCTGGCAGTTCAGAGTATATTCAGTATTCTTTTTATTTTTTTAATTTTATTTTGATTTGGGTGAAGATTTACAGAGTAAATTCACTTTTCATACAGCAGTTCAC